GGCCAGAAGGTCATCAAGAGGAAAAGAGTTCAGTGAAGTTTGAGTGGGCTCATATTGGGCAATGCACTTTTTCTAATTGTCTAGTCACAAATTATATAGGACTGTATAGGTCATAAACAGTTCTTGAATTACTGCCAGTAACATTCTGGTAGTCCAGGTAGTTTTGAGCAAAAGTCACATGAACCACATAATTGGCTTCTCTCAATTCTGCTTCAGCTGTCCAAATGCAATTCCAGTCATTGCTGAAAGCAGGCTATTCTGTTTTAGGATTAAATAGAGATGTATAGAATGTATCCATCTTTGGCTGCAGAGCACATAATCAATTTGATTTCAGTGTTGACTGTCTGGTGATGTCCATGTGTAGAGTCACCTCTTGGGCTGCTGGAAAAGAGTGTTTGCTATGATCAGTGTGTTCTCTTGACAAAATTTCTCTAGTCTTTGCCATGCTTCCTTTTGTACTCCAAGGCCAAACTTGCATGTTATTCCAGTTATCTTTTGACTTCCTACTTTAGCATTCCAATCCCTCATGATAAGGACATCATTTTTTGGTTTTAGTTCTAGAAGGTGTTGTAGGTCTTCATGGAACTCGTCAAAGTCAGCTTTTTTGGCATCAGTACTTCGGGCATAGACTTGAACAACTGTGATGTAGAATGGTTTACATTGGATTCGAACTGAGATCATTCTTTCATTTTGGAGATTGTACCCCAGTACTGATTTTCCCACTCTTTTATTGACTATGAGGGCTACTCCATTTCTTCTAAGGGATTTTTGCCCACAGTAGTATACATGGTAGTCATCTGAATTAAAGTCACCCATTCTGGTTCATTTTAGTTCACTGATTCCTAAGATGTTGAGTTTCACTCTTGCCATTTCATGTTTGACCACATCCACCTTTCCTTGATTCATAGAGCTATGGTTCATGGTTTCATATGAATCTATGATTCATAGATTTCAGGTTCCCATGCAATATTGTTCTTTACAACATCAGACTTTCCTTTCTCCACCAGATACATCATTTCAGCTTTGACCCTCTTGCTTCACTCTTTTTGGAGCTACTTGTACTTGCCCTCTGCTCTTCCCCGGTAGCACACTGATCACCTTCCAACCTGGGGGGCTCATCTTCTGGTATCATGTCTTTTAGCTTTTTGATTCTTCCCATGGTGTTTTCATGGAAAGGATACTGGATTGGGTTGCCATTTCCTTCTCCAGTGGATCACCTTTTTTCATAACTCTCTGCTATGACCTGCCCATCTTGGGTGCCCCTGCATGGCATAGCTCATAGCATCATTGTGCCACACAAGCTCCTTTGCCATGGCAAGGTAGTGATCTATGAGGGGGAATGTATAGTCTACACACACATTAAGGCTCTAAAGCATCTATCATGAACAATGCACATCTTTTATTTATTTATTTAGGTGACTTCTATGCCGCCCCATTCGCCGAAGCCTTGGGGTGACTCATAAACCAGAAATAAATAGAATTCAATAAAACAATATAAATTAACAAAATAAATTAAGTCACCCTGGCCAAAGAATAAAATGAATAAATAATATTAACAATTAAAATAACATTTGAATAAAAAGGTCTTCACCTGGCACCAAAAAACAAATAACGACAGCACCAGGCGGACCTCTCTGGGGAGTGCATGCCATAGATTGGGCACCACCACAGAGAAAGTCCTCCTCCGAATACTTACCCTCCTAATTTCCTTCACGGAGGGTTTCCAGAAAAGGGCCTCTCCCGCTGATCTCAAGGGGCAGGCGGGCATATATGGACGTAAGCGCTCCTTCAGGTAACCAGGACCCAAGCCGTTAAGGGCTTTATAGGTCATCACCAACACCGTGAATTGGGCCCGGACTTCAATGGGAAGCCAGTGAAGCTGACGGAGGACCGGAGTCATGTGAACATAACGTCCAGTCCCTGTCAGCAGCCTGGCAGTTCTATTTTGAACCAATTGAAGTATCCGAACCATCTTCAAGGGCAGCCCCACATAAAGCACATTATAGAAGTCAAGTCAGGAAGTCACCAACATGTGTGTCACTGTTGCCAGGCAGTCATTCTCCAGGTAGGGGCGCAGCTGATGGATCAGCTGAAGCTGAAAGAAAGCGCTCCTCGCCACCGCTGTCACCTGAGCTTCCAGTGAAAGCTCTGGGTCGAGGAGCACTCCCAAGCTGCGGACCTTGTCCCTAAGAGGGAGTGCAACCCCATTCAGGGCCAGGTCAAATCCACCCTCCCTGAAGCCCGATCCGCCAACCAACAGGACCTCCATCTTGTCTGGATGGAGCTTCAGTTTATTGGCCCTCATCCAGTCCATTACCTCGGCCAGACACCGATTCAGCACAGCCATTGCCTCACCTGGATTGGTGGAAAACGAGAGGTAGAGCTGGGTATCATCAGCGTACTGATGATTCCGCAGCCCACACCTCCTGATGACCTCTCCCAGCGGGTTCATGTAGATGTTAAACAGCAAAGGGGATAGAATGGGGCCCTGCGGTACTCCATGGCATAGCTGCCATGGTGCAGAGCCATAGTCCCCCAGCACCACCTTCTGGAAACGGACGTTGAGATAGGAGCGGAACCACTGCAAAGCAGTGCCTCCAACCCCCAATCCAGCTAGCCTATCCAGAAGGATACCATGGTCAATGGTATCGAAAGCTGCTGAGAGGTCCAGAAGAACCAACAGGGACACACTCCCCCTGTCCTTCTCCCTGCACAGGTCATCGTACAGGGTGACCAAGGCAGATTCAGTACCGTATCTGGGTCTGAAGCCGGACTGAAATGGGTCCAGATAGTCAGTTTCATCCAAGAGTGCTTGGAGTTGTCCCACCACCACCCCTTCCAACATCTTGCCCAGAAACGGGATGTTGGCCACTGGTCTATATTTAGTGGCCATCTCTGGATCATGTGACACTTTCTTCGGGACTGGTCGAACTACCACCACCTTTAAAGGGGCAGGTACCCCTCAGAGAAGCGTTAACCACTTCCAAGATCCAGATCCCAATCTTGTGCTTGGCGTTGTTTATTAACCAAGATGGGCAAGGTTCCAATAGGCCAGTGGTGGGATGTACTCATCCAAGCACCTTGTCCACATCATCAGGCCGCAATAACTGAAATTCATCCATTAATGTTGGACCAGACGGCGACATTGGTATCTCCCCAGAAGCCTCTGAATCACTAGTAGAATCTAGCTCGTGATGAATCTGACCGATTTTCTCCCTGAAATGCTTGGCAAAGTCGTCACAGCAGGCCTTCGAGGGTGGAACCAGATCTTTCTTAGGGCCAGGACGGACCAGCCCTTGTACCACCCGAAAAAGCTCCACCAGATGGCATTTTGAGGCGGCAATGGAAACAGAGAAGAATTTCTTTTTCGCCATCCTCACCGCCACAGCATAGGCCCGATAACGGGCTCTTAAGTGTGTTCGGTCAGATTCATCCCGTGATCTCCTCCACCTACGCTCTAGCCGTCTCCCTACCTGCTTCATCGCCCCCAATTCAGAGGTATACCAAGGGGAAGAGTGGGCTCCGCCTGGCGGGAGAGGATGCTTAGGAGCGATAGTGTCAACAGCCCTAATCATCTCCCCATTCCATAGTTCAACCAGAGCCTCGACAGGAGCACCAGTCTTGTCAGCCGGAAACTCCCCCAGGGCCTTCAGGAATCCATCCGGATCCATCCGACTCCAGGGGTGGACCCACACAATCAGGTCCACACCCTTACAGAGGGAGAGGCCACTCTCGAGCACAAACCTCACCAGGAAGTGATTTGACCATGAGAGGGGTGTCAGACATAAATTCCTCACCCTCAGACCACCCTCTTCCTGCCCTGTCGAGAAAACCAGGTCCAGAATGTGTCCACGTTCATGGGTCAGGCCTGTGACATGTTGAGACAGCCCCATGGCTGTCATGGAGGCCATGAAGTCCTGAGCCGCCCCGGTCAGACCAGTCTCGGCATGGAGATTGAAGTCCCCCAGGATCAACATCCTGGGGGTCCTCAACACCAGGTCCGAGACAATCTCCATCAGCTCAGGCAGGATACTGTTGGGCAGAAGGGAGCACGGTATACCAACAGAATCCCCAATCTGTCTCAGTCACCCAACACCAAGTAGAGGCACTCCAGCCCTGGTCTCGAAGGGACTGGAAGTCCCGTGAGGGAGATGGAGGCTCAGTAAACCAAAGTGATCCCCCTCCCCTCCCCTCCAGGCATGGACGGTGCTGAACCAGATACTTGGGTGGGCACATTTGAGAGAGGGTGACATCCCCCCCTCTCTCCCGCCCAGGTCTCTGTTATGCAAACCAGGTCAGCCCCCTCATCCATAATCAAGTCATGGATGAGGGGAGATTTATTGTGGACCGACCTGGCATTAAGCAGCAGCACCGTCAGGCCCAGGGGCAGTTGACAAGACTACCTAGAACCCTCTGGCTGGGGGTAGAACCAGAAGGAGGGACAGGTGTCAGTCATCTGTCCCTCTTTCTTCTACACGGACACGTTAAGTCCCCACCGCTGTATCGTCCATTGCCCATGACCACCCCAATGGCGGCGCCCACGCGCTCCCCAGGAAACTCAACAGTCAACATGGCCAGGGACGACTCCATAAAAACAAAATTAAAATACAATAAAACTTTAAAACAGTAAAAACTCCCTGTCTACCCCCCCGATACAAAATTTCACCCACCGACCTAGCCCCCCACCAGCCCAGCCCCACATGGCCACGAACGGTCACAAACGGTGGCGACCGCCCTTTGGCCGTTTTATTTTTATTTATTTATTAAAACATTTTTATGCCGCCCCATTTGCCGAAGCCTTGGGGCGGCCCACTGGCCCTAGGCCACATCCAGCGGGTAAAGCTGGCACCCGCCCGCATGCCCCACCCCAATCTGGCGTTACTCTCACTGACACCAGTTCGGGGGGGGGGGGAGCAGAGAGGGGAGTGGAAACCCGCCAGGCGGTGAGATGGCGGCGCCCTCCTCTGCACCATCGACGGCGGCCCTGGCGTGGCCCTGGCATGGCCCTGGCATCCTCTGTCCCCGGTGTGGCCCAGCGGTGGCTGCGGGAGCGGCATCTGCTGGCCTCCGGCTCGGCGGCACACCTCAGGTCCGGTGTAGTGACGGTGGCAGCAGCAGCGGTGTGGCGCGGCAGGTGTTCCAGGGAGGGAGGGGGAGGGAGCTCCGATCCAGCTCTGATCCAGATCCAAAATAAATTTTCTTTTACTAACAGACAGACTTCAGAAGGTTGCACACAGTAAGCAGGAGGCACTTTATTTCTTTGATAATGTCATAGAAAGCACCTATCCCAGCTGAAACGTACCTGGACATTACAGTCAATCTATGTGGCTTTCCTCTGAGTTCTGACTCAGAGAGAAGGGTTGAAGGTGGCAATGGAGAGGTATTTCTCAGTGGTGAACCCTCATCTGTGGAATTAGCTCCTCACTGCAACCTGGCTGGTGCTAAATTTGTCATCAGTACCAGGTTAAGTCAGTTCACTTTTCTGAGTTTTCTAAGGACTTAGCTATAGAGGGAGTTGAAGTTGATCAACAGCTGTTTGGCAGATACACTCTTTTTTATTCTTGGATATTGTTTTTGTTACCTCTTTTTCACTATTTTAAACTTTTTAGATTTTTTCTGATTTCATGATTTTTATTTTTATTTTGTTGTACTTTGAGCATCTGTTATTTGGCTGTGTGAATTGCCCAGCCAGTTTCAGCTGTGGGGCAGAATAGAATAAATATATAAATATATAAACTGTTCCCCTTTGTTCCGATTCTCAGTGTGCTTTGGAAACTTTGTTTCCTTTTTCCCATGTCTGTAATATTTGGATTAATAGAAGGTGGAATAAACATTTCTATCTTTCTGAGAGGGCAAATGTTGGCAAAAAGGGGGTGGGGGTAAGAATGTTGGCTTTCCAATGACAGCTATCTTTTCTCTCAACAGGATGAAGCTTTTTAGTTTAGCTAAATCTGCTGAATGCCCATCATTACATTGCAACTTCACAAGCTGCCTAATAATGCATCTTTCTACAAGGCATTTCGCGTGCGATCCACATTCCTTGTTCAAAGTTATTTATTCTTTAGATGAAGCTTTGATCCTCCACTTTCACTTTACCTAACAGAATATTCAGTGAGGTGTTTTAAAGCAATGAAAATGTGGCCTTCGGTTATGAAAGCAAAAGGGAAGCACAAAGCCCTCTTTTAGAATCATTCTATTCTGCAGGCCAATAATCTAGAAACAAATAGAAAACAAATAAATTGTTAATAACAAATAAGAATGACATGCCATCATGTAAAAAGACACTATTGACAATAACGTGAAAATGCACAATTGAGGCATGGGATTAGAACATTTGTGAATGTGTGCATTTTCAGAACTGCAAATTTGCAGAAGTGTGAACTTGTGCAATTGCGTAACAACGTATGCACTCATGCAACATCTGATTCTGTCAATATGGGGTGGGGGCAGCAGAATAAATGGCATGTTACAATCTTTGAAATGAAGACAGAATGGAACTAAATATATACATTTTCTGCGCAAACTATTTAAGTCTTGAGGAAATCTTCAGATAGTATTGCATTTTTTAAAAAAGATGATTTTAATTCTGGGAAGGTTATTAATTCACCTGTAATTATCAGGCTGGTGATCATTCCTTCTACTTCTCCTGCAAGTAGCAAGGGAGTTGAGTTGCCCCCAGCAAAGCAAAGGAATGGTATTGAAGGAGGCTATAAAGAAACCAGCACACTAAACAAGAGGGATTAAAGACAGGAAGGGAGTGTTGGGCCAGCTGCTTTCCATCATGCTGTGAAGTTCTGCCTCTGGCCAAGCTGTCTGAAAGTTTCTTAGAGCCAAACTGTGCTACTCAGTGACCCCTGAAAGACAATGACAGGCCAGGTTAAGTGTTGTCTGAAGGGGCACTATGCCGAAAGTACAGCGCTCCTGCTGCTGCTTCTGCTGCTCTTTGTATTCCTGCTGCTGCCTCAGACCGTGTGCAATATCCGAGTTGCCAGCTGTATGATCAGTGACCCACTTCCCATAAATCACCAGTATTATCAGTCAGGAGACCTCATCATTGCAGGCATCCTTTCTCAGATCTATATGTTTTCCAGCCCCATCACCTTCAGATCACACCCATCTCTTGGACTCTTTGAAGACCTCATGTAAGTTTAAGGACTACAGGATCATCCAAAGAGGTAGTTTGGTGAGTCTGTTGCAGCCAAAACCATTCAGAGGATTGCAACTAACAGCGATATTACAGGAACATTGTTTGCAGATGAGAAGTTATTTGTTCAGCTGTAAACTCTGTTCAAGTAGCACTTTCACTCTAAAAAATGAACTATTACTAGTAAAGCATTCAGTTCTAGACTATATGTTCTTCCACATATTCCACGTATCTCTTTAGATAGTATTATCCTGCTGCCTTTTCCATCGGGCTTTCATATCAGTATTTATATGTTGAACTAGAACACGTTCTTCAGAGTCTTGTTCCCTAAAGGAGACTCCAATCATGATTCTCCAGTAAAAACTCTTATTAACTGTTTGGGGTAATAGTTTTGCACCCAGATACAAAACTGCCCCTGGGAAGAAACATTGCCCAGTCATTGAACATTCATGCCAACAGGCTGCAAACAGTGTTACCATGAACTTCAGCTAACAGGACCAGCAAACTTCAGACTAAACTTTTCCAGCGTTATTAGGGTAACATTGATTTTATCAGTGCAGAAACTCCACAGAAATCTTTCTTCCCAGAGGATTTCACTCTGTGTTCCCTTTTTTCCATGGCACTCAGCACAGAATTAAATGTTCCATGAATCACATTTTCTGCTCCTAAGGTATTTACTTTTTGAGTTAATCCACCAAAGTACTTTGCTAATTCATAATTTTGAGGAAATTTAAGCCCCAGACTATATATTATAAAATACAAAAGGTAGAGGGCTAAAATTCAGGATCGTTTCTGACTGCTATGTGTTTGACAATGCACTACAAGGCCTAGATTATAGCTCTACTTACCTGTAAATTTCATGTAAATTACACGTCGACACAGACCCCTGGGTGTGACAGAAAAACTAGGTTCCTGCATGGAATTCAGTAGAAGATTTTTTTCCTCACACTAAACAATGTCCACTGAAATGCCACAAAGTATCTAACTATGTTTAGCAAACCTATCATTATATGATCAGTAAAAACTACCAGTGAGCTAGCATCTTCACTGAGTGAATTTGCAAGTGCATAATAAGGAAAATGCATCAAACAGTCAAGCTTATTTTGAAGATGACTTCTGAGAAATGGGGGGGGGGGGCGACAGAAGCATCAACATTGCAGGTGTATCTTTGCAACAAGGTTTCATTACTCTTCCCTGAACTAAGACCTTGTAATCATTGCCTAAACCTGTTGCACAAAAGTGTGAAATAGCCCCAGTCCTGCCCTGAGGCTCTCTGATTCAGCACCTCAATCCTATTGCAGGTTTTTGACTCACTCCTACCAACACCTGCTAGCCTTGGTGTTTGCTGTAAAGGAGAGCAACAAAAATCTCCAGACCCTCTCAAACCTCACGCTGGGCTTCCACATCTACAACAGCAATTTTGTTGCCAGCTGGACCTTTCGTGCTGCAATGGACCTTCTCTCCACATGGGGCAGATTCTTGCCGAACTACAAATGTGATTTCCAGCATAATGTGGTGGCTGTCATTGGAGGCCCCAATTCAAATATGTGCTTCTTCATTACAACCATGCTGCATATCTACAAGATGCCACAGGTAGGAAAAGATGCCACAAGTAGGATGTATATCTACAAGATGCTACAAGAAGGGTACTTTCATGCAGGGTAAGATGTTAATAAGATTGTAATGGTTCCTGCAGCATTTTCCTGAGCCCCTGTGATTTGGAAGAAGAAAGCATCCCATTTCAATTCTTCCATTCCACTTTGTAAGGGTACCCTTCCCGAACCAGAAAATATTGCCCATCAGTCCACTGGCAGTTCTGGATTGAGAGTACTTTTCATTTTTACCTTCTCTTTCAAGCTTACATTTGGCTCTTCTCCAGTAATGACCGATGAAACCCAAGTCACCTTCTTCCAGCAGATGTTTCCAACTGGGGACCACCAGTATGTAGGCATTCTTCAATTGCTGCTGACTTTCAGGTGGACATGGATTGGTGCGATCATTATACAAGATCAGAATGGACAAAGGTTTGTGCAGACTGTGCTCCCCAAATTCTCCCAGAGAGGCATCTGCTTTGACTTCATAGCAACCTTGCCAACTGTCTATTTTACCAAGGACATTGCTGAAATGGTGGCAGAGTGGATTGAAACATATAACGTGATTATGAGTAGCACTGCCAATGTTGTAGTCATCAATGGGGAAAGTCACACCATGATATTTTTGAGAATGTTTCCTCAGGTTTCAGATTTTGAAGACATACAAATTAAGACAGAAGGGAAAGTCTGGATCATGACAGCCCAGATGGAGTTCACCTCCACTCCTTTTCAAAGTTTTTGGGGCATAGACATCATCCATGGGGCTCTGTCCATTGCTGTCCACTCAAAGGCTGTTCCTGGATTCCAGCAGTTCCTTCAGATGAGGAACCCCACCTCAGACAGAGAAGATGGCTTCATCACAGACTTCTGGCAACAGGCATTTAGCTGCGTGTTCCTAAAGGAGATGTTTAAAAAGCAGGATGAGGAAATCTGCACTGGGGAGGAGAAGCTGGAGAGCCTTCCTGGGTCTGTATTTGACCTGGACATGACCAGCCACAGCTACAGTGTCTACAACGCTGTCTATGCTGTGGCACATGCTTTGCGATCCTTGCATTCATCAATATCCAGTCACAGAGCAAGTGCACATGGAGCAAGATGGGAGCATCCAGCCCATCAGGCCTGGCAGGTAAGGTGCTCTGCACACCAAGACTCGAAAATCTTTGTGTACACAGACTATTTCTCAGTGTGCTGAGCTGGGTAATCAATTTGTTTTGCAATTCTTATATAGTAGCTTTGCTATGCTTTCACTGATGAGAACCATTCTTGATGATGCAGCTGCAGCTGCTGTCTGGATATCACTGGGACCATACTGGTCCTAACGTAGATTCCAGAACCTTTCTGGAAAAGTTCTGATGATGCATCTCTGGATGGGTCACTAACAACCACAAGCAGCAAACCGCAACTTACCTCGCCACTCTCACACCACGTCTGTCCAGAGTCACAAAGCATTTGTGTTTTGGGCCCATGTTCTCAAGCAATGTAGGAAGCTCTTTCATTGTCAAGATATGGATGTTTACATCTGAGTTCAACCCATACCAGCAACCCATACCAGTTTTTTTACTGATTCTCTTGCTCATACATAGATTGTAATCATGGATGCAATTCATTTTTTCACCTTCTGAATGCACGTCACGGCCCTTTCTTTCATTATTTTTCATGACAGCTTCACCAATATCTGCAAAGTGCCTCATTTAACAACGGTGCTGGTGAAGAGGTTTCCTTGGACCAAAATGGGGACCTGCTGGCTGGATTTGATATTCTGAACTGGCACACTTTCCTAAACCTTTCATTTATTCGAGTCAAAGTTGGAAAAATTGACGTGAATGCTCCAGAAGATAAGATGCTCAGCATTACTATGAATGCCCTGGTGTGGCCCAGAACCTTTAATGGGGTACGGTCAGTATGAAGTTCATGGTTCATCTCATCTTCCACTCCTTTATCCAGAAGAATATTGTTCAGATGTAGCAACAGAACTAGTCCTGTGCCTGCCATTTACTGGGAACCCATGCCAGCTATGATTAAGATATCCCAAAGTGTCACTTTTTTGAACTGTTTCCCACTAAGGCTGTGATTCTATGCAAATTCCATTGCATTTGGGACAATTTCCTAATTATTGTATGTATTTATTGCACTGTATTTTTTCATGTTTTCATAATGTGCCAGTATCAACATTGCGTGTGAAGATTGGACATGCCACTTCCTCAGGAAACATGGAAAGAACTTGATATATGATGCAGGGCTATTGATTCCAAACATCTATGTTATACTTTTCAAAGCACTGAACAATTTCATCTCTGAACAGGTTCAGCCAGATTCACATTGTAGCCAAGCCTGCCAGATCGGTTACAGGAAGAGAAAGAAGGAAGGGGAGCCATTTTGTTGCTATGACTGCCTTCAATGTCCCCAAGGGAAGATTTCAAGCCAGATGGGTAGGAATTGTCATGTACTATACAAGCATATTTCCTGTTCTGGTTCCTCTCAATGGCATATTTCTTTAAAGATACCTTCCTTTATCCTGTATGAGAGGGAAATGTTGGTAGCTGAGTGGTGCTTGCTCATATGGGGATCAATTATGTAGGTGGCATACGTGTTCATATAAAGAAAAGGGGCAGAAGGAAAAGCAAAACTTTCGGTATGTCCAGACATGTGAATTTGGTGTTCATGGCAACTCATTCTTTGTTATCTCTTTGGGAAAACTGAGTTTAAGAGCATAAGCAAAGGTATGCTGGGTAAGGCCAAATGTCCATCAGGCCAAATGTGCACCTAGTCCAGCACTCCATACATACACTCCATTCCCCACCAGACTCAGCTGACCACAGGAGAATGGATGGGATACTTCCTTTTTCCCAACTTCCTCAGCAACGGAAGGGTGCAGGAATACCATCTCTGGAAAAGAAAGCAACCCATAGACAATAAAGCCAGTAGCCTTGAGATTCATTAATTCCAAACAGAATAACCTAGGAATGGTAGCCACATGATTTGAACTTTCTGTTCTAGTTGAGGGAGTTAAGATATTTATTCTTATGAAGTATCATGCGTCATATGCAGGCACATGAACACACATATAATATCCTCTTTTTCAGACATGAATGAGTGTTCTCCATGTCCAGAAGATCAATATCCAAATGACAATCGGGACTTCTGCATTCTCAAAAAGATAACTTTCTTGTCTTTTGAAGAACCACTGGGAATCAGCTTGGCTCTCGTTGCTCTTTGCTTTTCTGTGATCACGGCCTTGGTGCTTGGGATCTTCGTCAGGCACAGAGACACTCCTATAGTCAAGGCCAACAACAGGAACCTCACCTTCACTCTCCTGGTCTCACTCTTGCTCTCCTTCCTGTGTGTTTTGCTCTTCATTGGCCAGCCTCACAAGGTGACCTGTCTCCTTCGACAAACTGCTTTTGGTATGATTTTCTCGGTGGCCGTTTCATCTGTCTTGGCCAAAACCATCACTGTGGTCCTTGCTTTCATGGCCACCAAGCCAGGATCCAGAATGAGGAGTTGGGTGGGGACAAAGCTGGCTAAGTTCATTGTCCTTTCGTGCTCTCTGATTCAAGCCATGATTTGCACAATTTGGCTGGCTACCTCTCCTCCTTTTCCAGATTTTGACATGCATTCAATGACTGAAGAAATCTTCCTGGAATGTAAGGAGGGTTTCACTCTCCTGTTCTATTGTGTCCTGGGTTTTATGGGCTTCCTGGCCATGCTTAGCTTCATGGTGGCTTTCCTGGGAAGGAAATTACCTGATAGTTTCAATGAAGCCAAGTTTATCACGCTCAGCATGCTGGTCTTCTGCAGCGTCTGGCTGACCTTTGTTCCAACCTACCTGAGCACGAAAGGAAAGTACATGGTGGCTGTGGAGATATTCTCCATCTTGGCCTCCAGTGCTGGGTTGCTCGGGTGCATTTTCCCTCCCAAATGCTACGTAATTGTCATGCGGCCTGACTTGAATAGCAGGCAGCACCTCATGAGAAACTTGAACTGATGAATATAACGGAGGCAGCTATGCTCAAGAACACAACACAGCTAAACAAAGGGTCATGAGAAGTATGATATTGTGTGCAACAGAAATTACAAATGTACTTGCATTGTAGATACGAATGTAACATCAATACATTACTTTAAAAATAAAGTCCTCAACCTGAAACGAATATATATTGTACAGGCATATTAATGCTCCAAAACACTTACCGTGAGTCATGCATGGCCTCAGACCACAATACCTCTGGAAGCACCTCTTTGAACCGCAATGTATTTGGACACTACACAGTTGATGGGGCCTTCTTCAGAAGTGCCAAAGGTGGAACTAATGGGGGATTTTTTCTCACTGGTGCCCCCCATCTGTTTAATAACCTCACCATGGCAGGATGGCTGGTGACGCATTTGTCAGTTGCAGAGTCTGGTTATGACAGCCCATGTTTTTGAGGTTCTTATTCAGTCATGCAGGACTGAACGGGATGAACTGCTGGTCTGCAGATCCACAGTTTATTGATTCTAGGTATTTTTAAATGTCTTTTTAGCTGTTCTAAATGGTTTATTTTTTCTGATTTCATATTTTAATGCACTTTCAGCATCTGTTCATTTGGGAAACTGCCCAGAGTGTTTCCATTATGGAGCAGCATGTTATTTATTTTTCTTTTTATTGCATTTCTATGCCACCCCTTATTCTGAGGACTCTTAGTGTGGTCCAGATTGCCAGCATAGCACAAAGTGCAGATAAAAAGAATACATAAAACAATAATAGCTGAAACCACAATTACATAATACAATATAAAGTGGAAACATGAAGTACAAACAGGATGAGAAACAGCAGTATAAGCAACAATAAAACCAATGGAGCAACCCAATAAAACATAGCTGTAAAAAAGAAATGCTAAATAAAGGGCCTTGATCTGGCATCAAAAACAAAGTAATATGGGTGCCACTAGCACATCTTTTGGAAGGGAATTCCAAAGGTGAGATGCAAAGACAGACAAGGTCCTTTCCTCACTAATCCCTCCTTCATTTCATTTGGAAAGCTGATAGAAGGTGCTCCTGGCCACATTTCCAAACCAAGGCACTGCCTCACCTGGGTTGGATGAAAATGAGAGGTTGACCACGGGGTCATCAGCATAATGGTGACACAAGCCCAAACCTCTGCATGACCATTCCCAGCAGTTTCACGTAGATCTACAGAATAAGCCAGCAGGCAAGCAAACACACTGTTCCCCTTTTTTCTGATTCTCAGCAAGTTTGGAGAACTCTGTTTCCAGCTTCTCATGTCATAATTTGGGGCTGTGGGCATTTTTAGGGAAATCCATCTGAAAGGATATCTCTACATTATTTGACTTACCTGGAATTTCATGAGCTGCCTTATAAGGCAATTTTGCATGGGAAGCATTTAACAAGTGATACTCATTGCTTACTCAAAGTTATGTGCTCTTTAGATGAAGTTTTGATCCACCACATTCACTTCTGTACTTAACAGAACATTTGTCGAGGCTTTTCAAGCAATGAAAATGTGGCGTTCAATTATGAAAGCTAACAGGAAGCACAAAGCCCTCTTTTAGATTCAATCTACTCTATAACCCAATAGCTAGAAATAAATAGACAACAAATACTTAATACTAAATAAGAATGATATACCATCAGGTGCAAAGACACTCTTGACAATAATATGACAAATGTGGGGAACTGGATATTAATATTTGTGGATGTGTGCATTCTGAAGTGCAAATTTACGGAAGGGTGGATTGGTGCAGTTGCATACCAACGCGTGCATTCATGTATGATCTGATTCTGTCAATGGTGGGGCAACAGAATAAACAGCACTTGACAAACTTTGAAGTGAAGACAGAATCAAACTAATTGTATACATCCTTAGTGCTAACTACACATATCTTGAGCAAATCTTCAAATAGAATTGCATTTTAAAAATACTCAATTTTAATTCTTGGAAGTTTATTAATTTACCTGTAATTATCAGTATGGTAATCATTACTTCTACATCCCCTGCTAGTACCAAGGGAGTTGACCTGTCCCTCACAAAACAACACAGCAGTGAAGAAGGCTATAAAGAAACCAACTCCCTTCACAGGAAGGGATGTGGTTGGGAAGCGAATGTGAGGCCGGTTGCTTTCCACCCCGCTGCACAGTCCTGCCTCTGTCTATGTTGGCTGAGTGCTGCATAGAGCCAAGCTGGACTGTCCAGGGACCTCTGAAAGACAATGACAGGCCGGGTGAAGTGCCACCTGAAGGGGCATTTTGTCAACAGTACAGTGCTCCTCCTGCTGCTACTCTTTGTATTCCTGCTGCTGCCTCAGACAGTGTGCAATACCAGGGTTGCCAGTTGTACAATCATCAACCATCTTCCCATAAATCATCAGTATTATCAGTCAGCAGACATCATCATTGCTGGCATCCTCTCTCAGTTCCTTACATTTTCCAGCCCTGTCACCTTCAGATCACATACCTCTCTTGCACTCTTCTAACATCTCACGTAAGTTTAATGACTACACGATTCTCCCAACATGTGGCTTGGTGAGTCTGTAACAGCCAAAACCAATAGGAGGATTAGAACACCCTTTGTCTAATAGAAATATGATGGAAACATTGCTTGCAGAAGAGAAGTTATGTGTTCTGTAAACTCTGTTCCAGTGACACTTACTCTGTAATAACACTGGTCCACAAGGTGAAAGCCTCAGAAATGAAAGTATCTAAATTTTATTAGAATTGGGTCACTAATAGAGGAAAATTAAATCCTGAGTATTAATTGGCTCCAGTTTTCAAGATACCGCTTCAGGTCAAAATTATATCAAAATAATTCAAAATTACAAGGGGGATGTGCAATTATCCTCCATATCTTTTTTGCAAAATGTGATAAAGCAATGAGAAAGGTCATTCAGTTCACTTTGTGAAATTAGATGTGGTTCAGGAGGAGCATACTGTGGGCTAAAATTTGGAATCCACTGACATTGATGGCCCCAGATCAGCTGCATCCTGATCATCCTCTTTATCAACATCTGAGTCTAGAGAGTAGTATTCTAGTGGATCTGGAATTGGCAGTTTCTCACCATGGGGTACAGGATGCAGCATGGATGGAATGTTTGGATATTCCAGGGTTCACTTCTTCTTTCTTGAGATTCCTTTTGTGACTGGGGGAACCATGCAAAAATAGCAGTTGCTACTATGATTGGTGGGTTCCCTACACACCATTGGGACTGTGAAAGGCATGGACTTTTTCTTCTTGTTTAGCTAATGACTCAGATAAGTTGCACATGTAATGCAACAATAATGAGTGGCCCAATGCTTGTCCTGAGCCCCTATTTTGCATCTGAAATATAGGTGGTATGCCTTTTTTACCACTGCTGTCATTCTGCACTTTTGAGATGCAAATGTAACCTTGCCACAAATGAAGCAGAAGTTATCTGCATTGTTTACACAGTTTCAAGGCATCTTGGCTTCTGAGGGAAAATATCATGCAACTATCCCTTGGAAATAATAGACTATGACACTTTCACATAAACCACCAGAAGTAACTGTATGATGTGTAGATTTGACCAAGACAAATATGCCTTGCAATAAAAGAACAATAAATTACATTTAGGAAATAATCTTTAGTCTCAAAGTGAAAATAAATGGTACACTTCTATGCGGTACCATTTTCATTATTCTGCAGTACTTTGTTGAGAAGTTACAAGATGTCATGATCATCAGACACCTCCCTCCCCTGTAGGCAAATATACTTGCCTGTGTATAAATATTTATTGTGAAATATCTTGACAACTTTAGCCAACCAGCACCTTTATCATCTGTTTTCTAATTCATCTAATCAAAACATGTAAGAATTTTATCTCGGAGGTCGATAATTTTCAGAACTTTGTAGACCAGTGCAAGTGAACTAGTATTATTAAAGCATTCAGTTCTGGACTACCTGTTCTTCCACATCTTCCATATTTCTCTTTAGATAATATTCTTCCACATGTTGGTCCATCAGGCTTTAATCTTAGTATCCATATTTTGAAATAGAATACCTACTTCAAAGTCTTCTTCCCTAAAGGCGTCTCCAATCATGATTCAGCATTAAAAAATCTAATTCCCCGTTCAGGGTTATGGTATTGTACCCAGATAAAAAACTGCCCATGGGGAGGGACAAGGATCAGTCATTGAATATTTTCCTCAACAGGGTGCAAACAGTGTTACAATGAATTTCAGGTTATTTCAGACTAAACTTTTCCTACATCAACCAGCAAATATATCAAAATTGGTTTTATCAGGTTGAAATCTCCACAGAAACATTTTAAAACAAATTCCCTATTTCATTGTGTGTGAGTGTTTGTTTGTTTCCTCTGCACCTGGTACTCAAAACAGACTTAGAAGATATATAGTCCCTTGCATTTCCAGCCCTCAAAATATTCCCAGTATTTGCAGTAACTCGTATTTTAATCCATTTTATTTTAGTAAAGTGCAAAACCTAGACAGCTGAAATTCAGGGCCATTTCTGAGTGCCATTTATTTGACAATGCCCTAGAGGGCCTAGATTACAGCTCTAACCATATGCAGAAGTTACCTGTAAATTACACAACAAAATAAAGCACCTAGTATGACATGAAAACTAGACAGCTTTCTTCCTCAGCCTGAGCAATGTTTACTGAAAGGCAAAAAGAAATTCTATTGGTACCTGGAGCAAGATGGGAGCTTCTTGATGGGAGATAGTCATCATGGATACAATTCATTCTTTCATGCTTCATTGCTGCCTTACATTTTAGCAGTTCCTTGAGTAGTATGCATAGCTTGTGGTGTTAGCTTTTTCTTCCCAGGTTAAAGTGTATAAGGCTTACTTAATCCCTTCCCTTTCATTTGATATTTCATATTGCCAATGAATAATTGCAGCTGCAGTACAATAAGCAAGCAAGCAAGCAAGCAATTAACAAAATGCAAACAGAAAAAAGGAAACAAAAGAAACAAAACCTAAAGGTATTTAGGGGTGTGGAACCTCAAGGACAGCTTACACAAATCTTTCAAGCACTGAGCATGTGGAAGATTACATATACGTTTACATTCCTTCAGCATCTTCCGAATCCACATCAATGCCCTTTCTTTCATTATTCTATCACAACAGCTTCACCAGCATCTTCAAAGTGCATCATTTAACAATGGTGCC